GGCTCACATGGCTTATGGTCTACAGGACTGACAAATACAAGCGATTGAAGGCTGAAGTGGAGCGACAGTGCAAACGATGTATGCAATGGTGTGGACACAGACCTGTCCTCTCCAGCAGACAAACTCTTGCTGTTATCGGTAGTTAAATCCCGTATCTGTTGCCCACACCGGCCGCCGGCGTACGGGTGGACACACAGGTGTAGCTCATTGTGATGTCCGCCACTCATGAGTTACGTTATGATCACTGATAACTGATCCCAAGAGTTTGTTTGCCAAATGAATACATTGAGTTGTCTTTGAGTTTAAAATGTTTTTTTTCGCGTGAAATCCAGTGGAGAAGAAGAAGGAGACCATCGGAGAGACCAATGATAAGCAGATGAAGAAGAAGTTGGAGCGCGAAGAAGAGAAGCTCAAGAATCACAACAGGGATCTGTCGTTAGTGAAGATGAAGTCCATGTTTGCTATTGGCTTTGCCTTTACAGCATTGCTGTCAATGTTTAATAGTATGTAAGTAATGATCGCATCCACGAACTCAACCAATGATTTACATAAAACCTATTCAATCCATCGATACTAATCATTAGTCTATTTGTTTGCTCTAAATATGAACACTAGTTTTGATGGCAGAGTTGTGGCTAAATTGCCATTCATTCCTATATCACTAATTCAAGGCCTATCGCATCGTAACCTCAATGGTGACGATTACACCGACTGTTCATTCATTTTCCTCTATATTCTGTGCACAATGTCTATAAGACAGGTATGACTTGCTGTATATCACAGTAGTTTTGCATTCATTGTAATGGCATTTGTTTGTCCATTCATTACACACCAGAATATCCAGAAACTGTTGGGATTCAGTCCGTCGCGGGCCGCCAGCAAACAGGGCGGAAACATCTTCGCCCCAATGGGTCCGCAGAGATAATTGACCCAAATTTAGAATTTAGTTTTTAAATAATTACGAATGAATTTTTAATATAACATAAAAATCTATAGGAAAACAACAAATAAATGAATTTATTTTTCAAAAAATATTCGTTTCCCGCAATGGCTTTTGGGTCATCACTCGGTTCCACGAGAAGCGACTCAAATCTATGGTCTGATAGCCGCCATCCCATAGTAATTCATTCAGGGCTCGGCCGACTGCCGGTGCCATTTGTATGCCTTGACCGCTGAAACCGGTGGCCCACACTATATTGCCGTAGTATAAGTCGCGGCCAATGATCGGGTTTTGGTCTAACGTGTTGTACTCATAATATCCACTCCACGCGCCTTTCAATTTGGCCGAACCAAAGGACGGCACTCTATGAGCCAATTGCGGGTA